TAATAAAATCTCACACAGAACATCTTCACCTGTTGTACATTGTGAGGTAACACGATGTTCCACCACAGCAGGAAGCACTTTAGGCTGCTACGGGCGTTCGCCGTCATGATGCAACTGATGGCATTTTCACATGGCAGGCTAATGGCAGTCCTGATGTTTTATGAGTAAATGAGACAATCTATGAAGATAATACACTAAAGACAGATTAGAGAGACGTCAGGATGACTGATCTATTCCAGTTTAGTCCCGCAGTTAATCTTCATTTGGTTCATTTCACAAAGACACAGAAAGCAAGAGCCTGATGGTCCTTAAAAGGTTCAAAATTCATGTGACACTGATGGATTTTAACCCAATCATACTCAACCCTTTGATTTTAATGTCTGCTCATTATCATCACTTTAGGCTTTTCTGAAAATTCTGAATATTTCCAGGAAAAAATACTGAGATCAAAGTAAGACTTTCTGGAGGGGTTCAGGCAGAACTTATATCTGTCCAAGCCAGACCACCTTAATAAGGTGGAAAAACCCGAGTGGGCTGCTTGAAGAAGAGTGATACAGAGGATCTGCTCTTTCTTGGGTTTGACCATTTAGAAGTGAGGGAGGATGATTTCACAGATGAGTAGTTCAGGTGCATTTCAGCCTGGAGGAAACTTTGGCCCTAAATGATAAAAGCACTGTTCTGCTCTTTGCTTTGAGATGCAGATAACCTCAAGAGGAGTTGAGTGAAGTAAAATAAAGTTGAAGAGAAGCTGACCTCTCAGAGCTGAACACTGAAGGGAGATAACAGTTTGAAAAAGTATCTCTAGTTAGAGTTTTTGAAGTTTTAATTTCACTCTAACGTTTTCCTCCTCTGGCTTCACTTTGACACTTCTAAAGGTTCACATCAACACAAAGTGTCTTAAATGAAAACACGATGATTTAAAAATGTATTTCCTCAATTTTAAAAGTAATTTTCAAAGATAAATTGTGAAATAAACGAGTTTGAACCAAGATAAAAAAAAACTCTAAGAAAATAAACATATTTCAGAGACGTGTTCTTTAAATCCATTGAAAACAGACAATGTGAAATAAATCACAAGTCTCATGTGTTTCCTGCAAAGCTTTTATCAGAAGGTCAAACTGATCAAAGGTCCAGACATGATGGATGCTCACTTCACACGGGCTATTGTAGTTCTCATTGTTATTCCAACATTCTCTGCATCACTCTCTTAAGAAGCCTAATTATTCTTTTAGCTTTTTTCTCAGAAGTTGAAAGAACCAAAAAGTTTCGGCAGAATTTGGCAAGAGAAAAGGTTTCTGCAATTTTCTTCCCTTAAATTAAATACAAGTGTATGTTTATGTGAAAAGAGACAGCTGGGCTGGAGAAACACAAACACAATACAGTATTCTGGTGTGACTGATAAAAGCTTCTCAGAGGGGAGCGCGATGTCATCGGGGCCCCGGTACCACAGTCAACATAAAAAATGACAACATAGCACGCTCGGTCAAAATTTCACACTTTTTGAGTTCTCGGACCTGACTTCGGATGTGGAGCCAACATCAACAAGTCACTTCACACTGTTTTCTGCAACAGCATGCAGCTTTCAAAAGCAAATCCTGGATGCCAGAAAACTTTCTCCAGTTCAACCAGGACAAACTGAAGGTTTAGTTATCGTTCCTGAGGCCCAGAGAGAGAAACTTTCAATCAATCAATCAATCAATCAAACTTTATTTATAGAACTTTGAGTTGCATGTACTGCATGATTAAATGTTATATAAATAAAGTTTGATTGATTGATTGATTGACTGATTGATTGATTGATTGGTTGGTTGATTGATTGATTGAGCTTCCGAATCAATTGATTGATTGATTGATTGATTGACTGATTGATTGATTGATGATTGATTGATTGAGCTCCCGAATGCACCCTGAAAGTTTTTTTTAACCTGAAGCTGAATGGAAACGTGCAGGTGTCTTTACACCGACCCAGATACATGTCACGAAATATGCTAACGTTACGATCATGCTCTAGCAGAACATGCTAACAATGTTACGATTGCACTCATGCAGGATGTGCTAACTTTACGATTGAGCTCTAGCAGGACATGCTAACTTTACGATCGCGCTCTAGCAGGACATGCTAACGTTACGAACACGCTCTAGGAGGACGTGTTAACGTTATGATCACATTCTAGCAGGACGTGCTAATGTTGCAAGCACACACCCTTAAAAAGCATGCGTCAATTAAAGTGTTGGCGTCACTTCCTGGGTGTATTTTCATTGGTCGACTGCAGATGGGTGTCGTAGGATTTTAAGCAGTGCTTGAAGACTGTTGGAGGCTGATTTTGGTCAGGAGGGTGCTCAATAAGCTGTCGCAGAGCTGGTCACACTGGATGGCCACAGACTTGCAAATCACCCTCATGTTCACAGTTTTCTTGTCACAGTTCTGTTCACGACAAGAGATTTGTCTAGGACGGCTAAAAAACGCACAGTGTGGTCCGGACTTAAGATGCTGTTTAACTGGTCCTCATGGTGAACCGTTCTTTGCACATCTTTTCAACAGCCTCTAATCGCTTTTTCTCCAACCTGAGGTTGTTCAAAAAGGTATTTACAACAGCTAAAATAGAAACTTGCTTCAAAAGCTTCAAACAATCCCCAATACCCTTCAGGGAGGCTGGTGCTTATTTTTAGCAGTCAGTGGATGAAAGATGGGATCACCACGACTATAGCTAAGTACAACTAAGAGAAAATAATGCAAATTTACCATTGAATCCTGATTAAACTGCAACAATCTGATACGAGTGCAAATTGATTTTATGAGTATAAAATATCTTGGGTATTAAATATCATTGTGTGGAAAAGATCTAGGAACCAGTACAGCTCAAAATATTCTGGATGATTAATAAAAATTATTCAGTTATTAATCTGAGGGTTTGTCATGACCCCATATCAGAGCCCAAGCCCCCAAACCAGTCTCTTCCAGAGCCCAAGTCCCCAAACCAGCCTCTTCCAGCAGGACCACAACTCCCAGCAGCACCTCGCGGGGATTCCCTCCACATCACACCTATGTCACAAACCGCGACTATATATGGAAGTCGCCTCTCCAGCTCACCACTCAGTCATTGTTTCTTCAGATCTATGATCAGAGTTTCCAACCAACCAATCTGCCTGACGAACCGTCTATCCACAGTAAGTGCTCTTCCTTACCTCTGGAAGAACCCAGCATCTCCGTGTCACTTCACTGACGCTCATATTCCTAGATAAAACCGCGATCCGGTGCTATACCGACGCTAGCACTTCCGCGTCTGTGCTGTGAAGCCACGCTCGTTACAGCTCAACTCCTTGTATCTAGCTGACCAGTCTGACACCCCAACACTTCAAAAGAACAACAGCTTCTCTGAATTCCCTATAAATAATGTTTCATTCATAGTTAAAGATGATAGCAGTGAAGCGTGTTTTGCATAGCATTACACCGTTTTCATAAATATATTGTTTTGCTCATGTTTTTGTAGAAATGTTCACATCATCGGTCGTGTTGCATGTAACAATTCCAAGCTAGGATGTTTGTTGTTCAAAACCATCTGGTCTTAGGAGGCAACATGTTTTAGGTGTAAACACGCTCTTCTTGTTTTTGGTTGGTGTTTTGATTTTTTTTTACACTCCAAACACATTTCTGCTTGTTGTGTTCAGACTTGTGCTAAAATTTAAATGTAAAAATTAAGGACTGCATGAGATAAAAGAGAAAACATGCCTGCAATGTTAATTTGAAAAGGTTATGTAGGGTCTGAAAAAATCTTGTGTTATTTTATGTAAAGGTCACCTGCTCTGAATAATGAAATTCAGTTATTTCATTTATCAGTGAAGGAAAGTTTGACAAAGCCCCAGCTGTATCTTTGGATCAGCCAGCTTAACCTTTCAGAGACATTTAAAACACAGCCCCATTCATTGCTGCAATTTCAAACCATGAAGAATATCTAAATCTACTCTGCAATTGCAAATTACTGATATATTAGCCTATTTGCATATTAGTAAAAATGAGTAAATATTAGTCAAATTAAATTAGAAACTGATAATAACAAGGTGTATAAGAGGAGATCAGAATGATTCTGAAGCCACATTGTTTCTGCAAATTGTGATGCAGTATACTTTTAAACAATGAGCTTCCATTATTTCCCAAAGTAAAACATGTTTTTGCTCCAAACATTCTGGTGCAGATAAGGGTAAATGATGCTAATCCATGTGAAACCAGCTGGAGTTTGTTCAGACGACTTCCCAGAAGGGATTAAGCTTCCAGCTCTGTTAAAACTGTAAATACAATTATAATATTACAGAAAGACAGATCTCCTTTTAGGTGTTTTTCACAGAGTTTTGCATCCCAGCTGTGATTTATTATAATAATCAATCAGCAATAATTATGCTGTGGTAAAATCTCCTAACTTCTGAGCAGCATTTCACCAGCTCAATCTGGAACACAAAATCCCAATTTAAAATGCTAACCTGTCGTTTAATAATTTTTCCTTAATTCAAACAGAGAGTAATTGAAGGAATGGCAGTTTTATTAGCTTTTAGCTTCCCCTAGTGTCCACTATTAATTCTCCAGTCAAACCGAAAATGAAACTTGTCTCGTCGCTGTGCGTTTGTCTTTTTAACGCCTTAATCTCACAGCTGATATATCTCCCCAGCCTTTCTTAGTGTCTACAGGAGTGGTTCATCACTAAATTAAACAAATCAGTTGTGTTAATGATTTAAAACATCCAACATATGGCGGCCAACCAGTCTGAAGTTGCAAATGTGGTGTTCTGGCCACAGGGGGTGGTTGGGGTCTGAGTGACATTTCAATAACCTTGTAAAGGGTCATTTTAGCACGCACTGGCTCAAGAGAATGATTTAAAAGTATGGAAAAGTTCCAAAGTACACAACCGGCCTGCCAGACCTTTCCACCTGGCCCCCCAACCCTTTGGACCCCAACACGCTCCCCCACCCCCACCCCCACCCCCCCACCCCAATTGGGGGAATTTAAAATGTAGCAGCAAAAGTCATGTCCCAAATATCACTAATTGTTTATGTTCTCCAAGCACAACTAAAACTACAATCAAAACAAAGCCATTTTAAATATTAATACATTACGATAAAAAAATACTTGAACTTCATTTTAGAAGAGCACCTGGCTCTTACAGTTTCTGCTGAAAAAACTCCGGCCCTTGAACAAATTTAGTTTAGGACCCCTGTAGAATAGAATAGAATAGTTATATTTGACTTATTTTCAGATTAGTGCAGGGTTCTTTACATTGATGTTTGCCTGTAGTTTTATTGTTCTGCCACTACGTGGCAATCACAGTGCATTAATGTATGGTTCTGAGTGTTATGCAACTCAGAGAGGTATCGGCAGGCCACGGACATCATCCTTTCCAGCCATTAGTGTGCGTCCATTGAAAGTGAGTAATTCTATCTGAGCTGTACTTTGCTCTGAAACACCTGAGACACGTGGTACTTGTGTATGAATGTTATAAGGCGTTTTGAGGTTGTTTTCGGTTAATATTAGGGGGCTAACTGCTAGCCATCTGCAACTCCTAGCTGGTTTGCAGATGCTAGCTGGTTAGCATACACAGTTAAGCTCTGAATGGCCTCTCTTGTTGCTGTTACTGTTGTAGCTGAGTGCTATCGGGTTGAAATGTCTTATTTAGTGTTGTGTGCTGCATACATTGATTCACTGTTGACAAGGGAAATTCTTAGTTGTATGGTTTAAGCTGTATGTTTCTTAAGTAGTTTTTGGTCAGCTCCTTAATTTAAAAAGACTACAAATATGTTTGATATGTATAATTCCCTTGTGTAACCACATGTTTAGTTGTATGAGAAATAATTACTCACAAGCTATTATTGAAGATTCTGTATTTGTTTATTTTTTGCAGGAAACCACACACACACAAACATCCACCCATGTATTCTGCACCTGCTTCCAAAGCAGTCGGATACCTGTATGGAAAATGTTAGTGCCTAATTAAAGAAGAATTCAAAGACAACTTTGGAGCTGGACGCTCACTAATTATTTCCCACTCTCCTGAACATATTACCGCTGTCCTGACCCAACGCCGTGCAGTGATTGCTAATCTTAAGCAACCTGTTATAATCCTCAAATACAATTTCTGGTCCTTCCAGCTGGATTTCCAGCAGCCACTGCAGTCAATATGTCCAGGTCATATGAGAGGGATGCCAGAGATGCAGTCCGGCCTCGGAGAGCGAGACAGCAGCCATCATATCTCCATGAATATGAGGTCAGTTATATTCCAAGACGCCTCATCCCTGAAACTGAGCAGGCATCTTCATCTGACATACTCAGATATCTTAGGAACATGAGGGAGGAAAGTCACCAATTGCAAAGAGGTCCAACGTCTGTCAGAGATGGTCCATCAATCTTCTACACCAGCACTTAGAGATGAGCAGATGCCATCTAGTGGTCACAAGGACCCACGTCAGGCAGCAAGTGCCCCCCATGGTGTTCAGTGATGCTCCTCCATCTCTACAAAGGGGCAGAGCTGATTTTATTCATGAACTTGATCGCTGTTTGCAGGAAGTAGGATTAACCAAACAAGATGACATATCTCCAGATCCTCTCGTAGCTCATCTCCCTGCTCTCAATTCAAACCTCCTGAGTTAGAGATTGAAGATTGCCCCGCACAGGCATCGTCACATCGCAGTGAGCATAAGTCATATAGTGAACCTTGTGATAAGTCAAGTGATAGTAAACGGCCATGTGCTAAAGCCGCATCCAGTCCTGATGTCAAGTATCGTTCCAAACATAGGGACAACTACGATCGCTATAATGAGCCCGGTCACTATGATGACAGAATGACAGATATCGCTACTAAAATGATTTCCCCCTGCTCAAATCAAGCCACCCAGACCATGGTGATGGGTATGGTGCTTCAATGCCCTACAGGAGTAGTAGTCCTAGAGCTCGTTATGATGGCCAATACTATGAACAGGAGGAGGGACTTTCTGCTGATTACAGAGATCACCCTGATGGTTTTCATCGACCACATTATGAATATGTGAGAGAGGAATATAGGGGGATCAGATACCCACCTGAACATCACTATTCCCCACGCTATGATTCCTTCTATGGCAAACCCCCAGCTTTAGATACCTACCGTGGTCCCAAACCAACTATTCCTTTTTTGAAGTCAGAGGACCCACGTGAGTTTGCTAGACTGAAGCTAGCTCTAGACAACTTATTGCCATATGATGCTCCAGAGCACTTTAAATTTCAAATACTCACAGATCACCTCAAGTGTGATGAGGCGTTTCTCATAGCAGACTCCTACAGTAATAGTCCACTTCCATTTATGGACACGATAAGGGCACTCACAGAGATGTATGGTCAACCGCAGCAGCTGGTGCTGAAAAGGATTTCCAATCTGACGGATGGATCTAATATCAGAACCGGGGACATTAAAGCATTCAAGTCATTTGCCCTTCAGGTTCGTGCCCTTGTGGGAATGCTGCAACAGCTTGGAAGCCAAGGTTGGACAGAACTGAGATGTGGATCACATGTCTCTTGTCTCTTAGCTAAGTTACCACACGACCTAAGAGCGAACTTTAATAGTGAATCCCATTAACATCCCAGCACCAACACTATTCGGCTTGGCTGATTGGCTTGAGTACGAAGTACAAATCCAAGTCAGTGGTGATCATCAGAGCAGTGCCTTCACGAGAGAGAGAGACAAGCTCCGCCCAAGAGCCGACATCCAGAATTCAAGTCACAAAGGTCTACAGCTATTCTACTTGGCAGTGAGTCAACTCGGTCACAAGTGAAATCAGATAAAGCTCCTACTGTGAGAGAGACCACGCAGGACAAGCCAAAGAAATACTGTCCCTTCTGCGATACTGAGCAGCATTATTTCAATCAGTGCACCAACTTCAAGCTCCTGTCAGTTGAACCGAAGACAGAATGGATTAAAGCTAACCATCGATGCTGGCGCTGTGGTCGTGAACATCAGGCATCCAGGTGCAACCTCAAGGCCAAGTGCAAACAATGTGAGAGAAGGCATTTAGACATCCTTCATGATGTTAACACCAGACAAAACACCATAGCAACCGGTGATTCTCCAGTACCTCAACCAAGCACATGCCTTGTAAGTTCTGTTTTGAGACATTGTATCTTGACCGGCCAGCACGAAGTAACCAAGTGCCACTGAAGTTGTGTCGCGTCATCCTCCAGAGTTGTCCAAAGGTACTGGAGGCTTACGCAATATTGGATGATGGATCAGAATGTACCATACTGCTATATGATGCTGCCACCAGCTTGGGACTTCAATGAAGCCCTGAAGATCTCACCCTCCACACAGTCCGACAAGAACTCTGCACCATTCATAGTAGCACTGTCTCCTTCTCTGTAACCTGTGTCACAACCTGGTAAACCATACCAGATTGATAACGCTTTCACAGCTAAAGAGCTAAACTTAACCTGCCATACCTACCCAGTTGAAGATCTGCAAGAAAGGTATCGCCATCTTAGAGGTATTCCACTGCCAGCCATTAAAGTTACCCAGCCACTACTCCTGATTGGGTCAGATTACCCACATTTGGTCACACCAGTGGAACCAGTTCGTCTTGGTCCTCCAGGTGGACCCGCAGCAGTACACACCAGGTTGGGATGGACTCTGCAGGGTCCCACAAACCTTTTACACCATCAGCTATCTCCAAAACAATGCATCTTTACCAAGTGTGATCCTTACAGATCAGAGCTTCTGAGTCACGTGGAGAGGCTTTGGCAGCTGGAAACGCTGCCATACCGGAGCGAGCGATTGATAAGCAGGTCGAGGCAAGATATGGAGGCAGTCCACATATTGGAGGAGAAGACCACCAGAACAGTGGTTGATAGTGTGAACCGCTACGCAACGCCACTGCTATGGAAAGGGAACCTCCCTCTTATCCACGCCAGTAAAGAAGCAGTCCTACCCCAGCTACGTGGGACAGAAAAACGGTTAGTTAAAGCCACAGAGAAAGCTGCCATTTATTCCAAAGAGATTCACAAGCTCATCAATGCTGGTTATATTAAAGCTATATCCCAAGCTGATGCAGAGAAGAGGAAAGGTTCCTAGTTCATTCCACACCACATTGTCCAACACAATGAGAAATATTGGATAGTCTTTAACTGCTCCTTCATCTTCAACGGGCAGAGCCTAAATGACCAACTTCTTCCTGGGCCCACACTTGGAGCCAGTTTGCTGGGAATCCTCCTCAGGTTTCGAGAACACCCAGTAGCATTCAGCAGCAATGTGAAGGGAATGTTTCACCAGGTCCGCTTGCTTGAGGAGGATAAACCCTTTCTTTGTTTTCTGTGGCGAGATGTTAAGGTGGACCAAGAACCTACCATCTATGAGTGGCAAGTACTTCCCTTTGGAACAACGTGTAGTCCGTGTTGCACCACCTTTTCGCTACAAACCCATGTCCAGACACATATTGCACCAGAAGAAGATGCATGCCTTTCTGTAGAACGCTGTTTCTATGTCGATAACTGTCTTCAGAGTTTTCAGTCAGCCACTCAGGCCAAGCAGCTAGTGAACCGACTGCACAAGTTACTTCTGGACGGTGGATTTGAGCTCAGAGAACGGGCCAGCAATGTTCCAGATGTCATCAAACACCTGCCTAAGGAATCAAGGTCAGAGAGCAATACACTGGTTCACACAGCAAATGGAAAATCCACAAGAGCGTACACTTGGACTGTTGTGGCAGTGTAATTCAGATACACTCTGCTATAAACAGCACAACAGTGAACTTTCAGACCCAACAATGCGTAATATTTATCGACTTCTTGCTCAACAATACGATCCTCTGGGATATATTATTCCATATACAACCAGAGCTAAGATCATTGTGCAGCATCTTTGGGACAAGAAGAGAGGTTGGGACGACCCCAATCTCCCTGAAGATCTGCTGCAAGCTTGGAAGTCATGGGCAGAGGAGTTGGTACATTTGGCCCAGATCACCTTACCCAGATGCTATACTGAACCCAGAACAGACCTGAGCACCACCATTCAGAGTATCCACACATTTTGTGATGCATCTGAGCGTGCTTATGGATCCAAGGCGTATCTGCGCAGTGACAGTGGTGATGGAAAATTTCAAGTGGCATTCTTGGCTGCCAGATCCAGATTTGCTCCATAGAAGCAACTATCAATACCCCGACTCGAGTTGTGTGGTGCATTAACCGGGGCACAGTTGGCTTCGGTGCTGCTGAAGGAGATTACCATCAAGACACAAGAGGTGGTATACTAGACTGATTCTACCACAGTGCTCAACTGGCTCCAATATCCTGAAGATATAAAGTGTTTGTAGGCACCAGGGTAACAGAGATACAGGAGTTATCGGATGTCAGAGCCTGGCGCTATGTTGACTCAGCGACTAACCCCGCAGATAATATTACCAGAGGAAAAACACTGGCCCAACTCACTGGGAAGAGTCGTTGGACACATGGCCCCTCCTTTTGCCTGCAGTCACCTGAGCAGCCTAAAGCTTGGTTTATGCTTGACGCATTCACTTTCCGCGCGGTGATGCGGCTCACGGATGGAATGCGCTTCACAACTCGCAGCGTTTATGTTTTGTGCGGCTCGTCTCTGCGGTGAGCCAATATTCTCCCAAACTGAACGGGGCAGCATGGAGCTCTACAGCATGCATCCAACACTACACCATAGTAGAAGTAGAAATCACTGTTTACAACATGGCATTTCAGCATTTTTAACAGCGTTCTCGTCTTTTCCGACAGTGCGAGCTATTTCTCTCCAAGAATTATTAACAACATGTTGATCACGGTGATCTCTGAGAGCTGAATCATACAAATGTCTGTATTTACGAACCTCTGCCGTGCCGGTCCGCCATGTTTTTCCGCGTCCGACCGTCCGCGTGGTTAGAAATTTTCCGAGGTGCGCGTTGCGGAAATCTTGGGCCGTGCGGAGACGCGGTGGAGGGGCGTGGTTGTTAAAATGACGCAAAATGATGCAACTTTTCCGCGCGGAGCCGTGCGGACCTCGCGGACGCGTCAAGCATAAACTAACCTTAAGATACCAGTCAGTCACATTACTGAGGTGACTGAAGAGCTGAAGAGCACAGCGTTTTGTGGACTGACAGCTATTTCATCAGATCCATCCATACCTGACATTAAGCATACCTGACATTAAGCAGTTTCATACCTTCCAAGAGCTACTGGAAGCTATAGTCAGAGTTCTCCTCGGGGCGGCCAATGACAAGTCTCCAACAGCGGATGACTATCACAAAGCTGAGGTCGCCCTCCTCAGACATGCACAAATGGAAGATTTCCCAGAAGAGATGATGTTACTCAAAGCTGGCAAAGCTCTTCCATCTACTAGCCGAGTGCTCACTCTTGCCCCTGAATGTAATCACATCTCTGGACTAATCTGTGTTGGAGGAAGACTGCGCCAATGTGAAAACATAAGTTCAGATGTGTTACATCCCATCCTCCTTTCAGCCTCTCACACAATCTCCAAGCTCCTGATCTAGTATTATGACCAACAGTTGAACCATCCTGGAGTGGAACGTGTTTTGCAGAGCTGCGTAGGAAATACTGGCTGTTGAGAGGAAGAGAAGCTGTCAAGAAGCACCAGCACAATTGTGTGGATTGCAGGAAGTGGAGAGGCAACCCGCAAGTCTCCAGAATGGCAGATTTGCCCTCTTCCAGTTTGCGGTTGTTCTGTCCTGCCTTCTATTCAACAGGAGTCGACTGCTTCGGTCCTGTTTGTAAAGGTGGGACAACATACTGAAATGAGGTGGGGGATCCTATACAAGTGCCTTACTACACGTGCTATCCATCTAGACCTCCTACCAAACACGGACATGGATTCCTTCTTAATCTCCCTCCGACATTTCATAACTCGAAGAGGAAAGCCTTACGAGATCCTTTCAGACCAAGTCACTAATTTCAGAGGAGGGAGTAAGGAGCTTCATGAAGCTTTCCGTGCCATGGAACCAGTTGTTAAGGACCAATTTGCTGCTCAACAGATTCGCTTCCATTTTAACCCCCCCAATGCTCCACATTTCGGGGGGTCTTGGGAGTGAGAAGTAAGATCTGTGAAGACTGCGCTTCGTACCACTCTGGGAGTCCAGTCAACGCCAGAGGAAGTATTACTGACAGTCCTCATTGTAGTCGAGGTAATTCTCAATTCCAGACCCCTAGGTTATGTTTCTTCTGACCTGGTGGATCCGGACCCAGTGACACCTAATTACTTGTTGATAGGGCGGATTGATTCATCCCTTCCACAGGTAGTCTATCCTGAGTCTGAGCTGTTAAGTCGGAAAAGGTGGAGACATTCTCAAGTCTTGGCGGATCACTTCTGGAAGCATTACATCCGCCACTTTCTTCTTACACTAAAATCCAGGCAAAAATGGCAGACTGAGAAGGATGTCATAGTTGTAGGTACTGTGGTGCTCATCGTTGATCTGTAAACACCAAGAGCCCTCTGGCAAGTGGGGACTGTGAAGTCTGTCATACCGGGAGCGGATGGACGCGTGAGGACTGCTATGACTCAAGTCAAAGACAGAACCTACACTCGCCCAGTTGTTCATCTCATCAAGCTGCCTGCCCTACCCCAGGACAGTCAACCCACCTAGTAGTCAAATTTGCTTATCAAATTTGGGGGCTGCTGTAGAAAAGACTGTTATATTTGACTTATTTTCAGATTAGTGCAGGGTTCTTTATGTTGATGTTTACCTGTAGTTTTATTGTTCTGCCACTAGGTAGCAATCACAATGCATTAATGTGTGGTTCTGAGTGTTATGCAACTCAGAGAGGAATTGGCAGGCCACGGACATCATCCTTTCCAGCGTATAGTGTGCACCCATTGAAAGTGAGTAATTCTCTGAGCTGTACTTTGCTCTAAAACACCTGAGACACCTGGTACTTGTGTATGAATGTTATAAGACTTTTTGAGGTTGTTTTCGGTTAATATTAGGGGGCTAACTGCTAGCCTAGCTGGTTTGCAGATGCTAGCTGGTTAGCCTACACAGTTAAGTTCTGAATGGCCTCTCTTGTTGCTGTTACTGTTGTAGCTGAGTGCTATCGGGTAGAAATGTCTTATTTAGTGTTGTGTGCTGAATACATTGATTCACTATTGACAAGGGAAATTCTTAGTTTTATGGTTTAAGCTGTATGTTTCTTAAGTAGTTTTTGGTCAGCTCCTTAATTTAAAAAGACTACAAATATGTTTGATATGTATAATTCCCTTGTGTAACCACATGTTTAGTTGTATGAGAAATAATTACTCACAATCTATTATTGAAGATTCTGTATTTATTTATTTCTTGTAGGAAACCACACACACACACATCCACCCATGTATTCTGCACCTGCTTCCAAACCAGTCGGATACCTGTATGGAAAATGTTAGTGCCTAATTAAAGAAGAACTCAAAGACAACTTTGCAGCTGGACGTTCACTAATTATTTCTCACTCTCCTGAACATATAACCACTGTCCTGACCTGACGTCCTGTAGTGATTGCTAATCTTAAGTAACCTGTTCCATCCATCCATCCATCCATCCATCCATCCATCCATCCATCCATCCATCCATCCACCCACCCACCCACCCACCTATCCATCCATTTTCATCCACTTATCCAGAGTCGGGTTGCGGGGGTAGTAGCCTAAGGCGAGAGGCCCAGACTTCCCTCTCCCCAGCCACTTGGGCCAGCTCCTCCGGGGGAATCCCAAGGTGCTCCCTGGCTAGGTGAGAGACATAGTCCCTCCACTATGTCCTGGGTCTACCTTTAGGTCTCCTCCCAGTTGGACGTGCCCGGAAAACCTCACCAGGGAGGTGTCCAGGAGGCATCCTGACCAGATGCCCGAGCCACCCCAACTGGCTCCTCTCGATACGGAGGAGCAGTGGGTCTACTCCGAGCCCCTCCCGAATGACCAAGCTTCTCACCCTATCTCTAAGGGAGAGCCCAGCCACTCTTCGGAGAAAACTCATTTTGGCCGCTTGTATCTGTGATCACGTTCTTTCGGTCACTACCCAAAGCTCATGACCATAGGTGAGGGTAGGAACGTAGATCGACCGGTAAATCGAGAGCTTCGCCTTCTGACTCAGCTCTACCACGACAGACCGGTACAACGCCCGCATCACTGCAGATGCAGCACCAATCCGCCTATCAATCTCACGCTCCGGTTTTCCCTCACTCGTGAACAAGACCCCAAGATATTTAAAGTCCTCCACTTGGGGCAGGACCTCATCCCTGACCCGGAGAAGGCATTCTACCCTTTTCCAAATCAAGACCATGGTCTCAGATTTAGAGGAGCTGATTCTCATCCCAGCTGCTTCTCACACGGCTGCGAACCGCTCCAGCGAAAGCTGAAGATCACGTTCTGATGAAGTCAACAGGACCACATCATCTGCAAAAAGCAGAGACCTGATCCTCAGGCCACCAAAATGGATGCCCTCCACATATTTGCTGCGCCTAGAAATTGCCTGTTCATAACCTGAAATCTGTCGAAACCTCTCAACTTCACACACCAACTCAGGCTCCTTCCCCACCAGAGAGGTGACATTCCAAAAAACCGCTGTCCTGACCCGACGCCCTGTAATGATTGCTAATCTTAAGCAACCTATTATAATCCTCAAATACAACCCCTGCTGTAGATAGCTTGTCAACAACCAGCGCAACCAAACTTTCAACTTGTGCAAAGAAAATGTGAAGTAGTAGCTTGACGTAATCATTGATGAATGAGGCTGAGTTATTATGACTAGCAGAAGGTTGTCCCTTCGTATGAACAGTGTCTCTGACCTAAACTTGGTTTCTCCTCATTTATTCTTGTGAATACTGTGTAATTCTGCTTTGTGCTCATTCAGACTCATTATCGTACCAACAATGGGCTGCTGAGACAATAATTAGACATGGTAGTCACCCTGTGTTAATCTGGTCCCTACAGAAAGCTTACAGCATTACAGTATGGCCAATGAAATACTGGGGGGAGTAACTCGTCCTGCACATCCCCTCCCCCGTGTCCTCAAACAATAGAGATGAACAACATTTCCTCCTACAGCGAGACTCCTCTCTGACTTAAAAAGGACTTTGCTGAAGTGTCATGGGGCCCCGCTTTCTAACAAGCCTCGCTTGGTCTTTTATTCTTCCTGTAGACACAGACAATGGCAGGAATTTGCTAAATATGGCACATGGCTTTGAAGACATCTGACCAGTGTAGTTGGGTGAAACACAAGTTATACATGACAGTAATATTTTAGTAAAACTAGAGAAATAGAGACCCCATCATTATTTTTTTGTAATTAGATCTGTAACTCCAGTGTAATTTCAGTTGTTTCAGTGCTATTCCACATCCATCCGCTAGGAAGAGCACCGGTCATTTTGGTGACAGAGTATGGTGAGGAGTACACAGAAGGAGAATAAACCTTCATGTTGAATGCTAATAGAAGCTCAACGTGTGTGTCTCATCTTTTCTCTGTTACAGGTCAGAAAATGTGTGATTTGATGTAAATATGTGATAAATTTCAAGAGTTGAACAGATTACACAATCGAGAGTCAACTGGTGTGTCAAATGATATGGTAGAAAACGGGGCTGTTTACTGTATGCTAACTCATGCTAATGCTAGTGGACTTTGGTTAGAGATACAAAGTTAACTGTGGAACAACTGATCTATATACAATGTTTGATCGTTTTCTGCTGAAGGACATGTCAGTATTGTTCACAACATTGATGTTTATTTTATGGTTTGAGGCAAGTATATAGGAAAAAATATTGCAATGTGATTAATGAGGAAGTAAAAAATAAACCTCTTTTAAGTAAAGTTGTGTAAGAAACATTACACTGTTTTTTTTTTTTTGTTATCTTCCAGTAAGGAATAAATATAGTTGTGTCTTGTTAAAGCTATGGGCATATTTAGAGGTTAAAATGCTTAAATATCAATGTATATTTCATGTGTTCAGAATAAAACTGTAAATGCTGTTAAAGAGAGCTAAAAGTAAATATCTTTTTGTTATAACTAAAAATGCAAGAGTTCTTAGACTAGGAATCAGAGTAATATGGCTTAAATGGAAAAAGTTATCTGTGAAATCCTGATTGTGATATGGTCTTGCATGTTTATTCAGTCATGTGAGTACACAGAAGGAGAATAAACCTTCATGTTGAATGCTAATAGAAGCTCAATGTGTGTGTCTCATCTTTTCTCTGTTACAGCACCACACGTTGAGACGTTGACTATCACTTACCCTCAGACTTCCATAGGCTGACGAGTAACACCAACATACACTGCTCACAAGAATTAAAGGAACACTTTTTTTTATTGGGCCTGGCATGAATTCAATTAAACCTGTCTTATAATTTCCTGGTTGATTAAGCAGCTGAGGGCAATGTTAATCACTTTTAGCTGTATTGGTGTTCATGGACTTAAGGACAGGTGCACTAAAGTGGCAACAATTACAAAACCCTCAAAACAGGACTGGTTTAACATGTAGAGGTCATTTGAAGTTTCTCCCTCTTGATCTTTTTCGGCTGGTTTTCCACTCGTGCTAGCTTTGGCTCTCTACTGGCATTATGAGGCGATCCCTTAACCCTACAGAAGTTGCACAGGTTGTCCAACTTTTCCAGGATCGCACATCCACACATGCTGCAGCAAGGTTTAATGTGTCTCCCCATCTACACATGCTGCAGCAAGGTTTAATGTGTCTCCCAGCACAATCTCCAGAACATGGAGGAGATTTCAGGAGACTGGCGGTTATTCTCGGAGAGCTGGACAGGGCCGTAGAAGGTGCTCAACCCATCAGCAGGACCGATACCTGCTTCTTTGTGCAAGGCGGAACAGGCTGAGCACTGCCCGTGCCCTACAGAATGACCTCCAGAGGGCCACTGGTGTGAATGTCTCTACCCAAACAATCAGGAACAGACTTCATGAAGATGGCCTGAGGACCCGACGTCCTGTAGTGGGCCCTGTGCTCAATGCTCAGCACCGTAGAGCTCGACTGGCATTTGCTCAAGAACACCAGAATTGGCAAGTCCGCCACTGGCCCCCTGTACTTTTTACAGATGAGAGCAGGTTCACCCTGAGCACCTGTGATAGACATGAAAGAGTCTGGAGAAGACAAGGAAAACGTTATGGTGCCTGCAACATCGTTCAACATGACAGGTTTGGTGGTGGGTCAGTGATGGTCTGGGGAGGCATATCCATGGAGGGACACACAGACCTCTACTGCCTATGAAATTGTGCTCTGACTGCCATAAGGTATCGAGATGAAATCCTTGAACCCTTTGTCAGACCCTACGCTGATGCAGTAGGTCCTGGTTTTCTCCTAATGCACGACAATGCCCGGCCTCATGTGGCAAGAGTATGCAGGCAGTACCTGCAGATGAAGGAATTGAAACAACTGAATGGCCTTCACGATCCCCTGACTTAACCCAATAGAACATCTGTGGGACATTATATTTTGGTCCATTAGGCGGCGCCAGGTTGCTCCTCCGACTGTACAAGAGCTCAGGGATGCCCTCACACAGATCTGGGAGGAAATGCCACAAGACACCATCCGTTGTCCCATTAGGAGCATGCCCCGACGTTGTCAAGTATGCACACAAGCTAGTGGGGGCCACACAAGATACTGAAAAGCAATTTGAGTTGCAGAAATGAAGTTTTTGAAATAATGGACTAGCCTGCCACATCTTCATTTCACTCCGATTTTAGGGTGTCTACACAATTGAACCCTTTGTAGGCTGATAACTTTTATTTCCATTAAAAGACTTGGCATCCTTTTGTTCCTAAGACATTGCCCTGTCGTTATTTGTATAGATGTCCAACTTCATATTGAGATCTGATGTATCTAATGTGTTTCTTTAAAGTGTTCCTTTAATTTTTGTGAGCAGTGTAGATGGAGTCTTGGCTCAGTAGACTTGCTTGTCCTCAGTCCCAGCTGAGAATTTCTCCTCCAGGGTTATTACAGTCAAAAACTGGCTTAAGTTTGGTTTGTGCATGTGTACATTACCAATGATGAAGCAGTGATAACATCCAGCTCCCATCTGCCCACATCGCAGGGGTCGTCTAGCTGGCATTGGGGCAACCTTGTCCAACAGATACATAATCATGAGGGCAAGGTCTGGAAAAATGAAGAAAGTAACAGCTTCCTGCTCCTGTGGAAATTTCAGGTAATATTTGTTTGTCTACTTCTCACTGCCTGAGCGGTTTCAGGTTAGTGGTTCTTGGAAAATTGTGAACTTCTAAGCATCAAAACTGCATGATGCAATTCTTAGAAGCTGCTGAAACGCGACAGCGTGAGGAGAGGTGACCTTTGTGCAAAATGAACACAACGCATAAAATTTTAATCATCTTTGGTGAAGCTCCTTGTTTTTACGGGTAATTAAAAAATCTTTGATTTAAAGTTCAAGATCAGAATAAGAAAATGTCCTAAATTTCACTGATGTGTCATTTAGCATGCTTTTCTGTCTTTATAGGGAAACTTGGCAGTTTTGCTTTGCTTTTAGCAGCTCTTAGTGTCGTTTGTAGCACTAAAAACAAAACCTACCTCCTCATCTTTTTAACACCTTAATCCAACAGCTGAAATGTCTCCCCAGCCTTCCTTAGTGTCTACAAAAATGATTCATCAGAGAGGGTTGCCTCATGATCGGAGGGTCATGGGTTCTATTCCAGCTCCCGTCAGGGCGTATTCTGCTGTTGTGTCCTAGGGCAAGACACTTCACCCAACTTGCCTGTGTTGGTGGTGGTCAGAGGGGCCGTCAGCACCAAATGGCAGCCTCGCCTCTGTCAGACCGCCCCAGGGCGGCTGTGGCTGCAAAGTAAGTAACCCTCACTAGCAGTGTGTGAATATGAGTGCATGAAAGCATCTTTGAGTATCCCAAAAAGTGTTGTAAAAGTTTGATGTATAATAATAATAATAATAATAATAATAATAATAATAATAATAATAATAATAATGAAGTGCCCACATCATCAGAAGGACGCTTTCCATAAACTAACCCTGAAACTGCCTTAGAAGCATGGATTGATTCTGGCACTTCAGTGAAAGTATACAAATATACAAAAAATATAATAATAATAATAACAATAATAATAAATCAGCTGTGTTCATGATCAGAAACATGCAGGAATGTGCTGTAGGCAGACTGCTACGCCAGGTATGCCAGCTCAAATTTTTTCCTAGTCTACACAGAGCGGCTCTCCAGTCTGAAGGGGAATATTCTGGCTGCAGGGGGCGATAGGGGCTGGGTGGCCTTCCATTTAGCCTGTAAAGCAAGGGTGGGGAACCCTGGTCCATCGAGGGCCACTATCCAGCATATTTTAGTTTCAACCCTGCTTCAACACACCTGATTTCAATCAGCAGGTGATTAACAGGCTTCTGTGGAGCTTGATGAGCTGCTGAACAGGTGAATCAACCACAGAATCAGAAGTGTTGGAGCAAAGACATGCAGGATACCGGCCCTGAGGACCAGGGTTCCCCACTCCTGCTGTAAGGGGTCATTTTAGCACATACTGGCTCAGGAAAAGGATTTAAAAACATGACAAAGTTGCAAAGTATCCCTTTAACACTTGAGCAGCTTGATATTCCTAAAGGTTGGCTGCATCAATAAACACAACAGCATTAGATATTCTGTGTTTCTCAGGAAGTTTTCTGCTGTTGGTTATAGCTTGGGGTAATTGCTATGGTTTCAGCACAAGAGAGCAAATTTAAGAAGATAGCCTTCAGGTTTGTGTAAAAATTACCAAGTCTTCCCCGTTAGCTGTGTTTCCTAATCCTCCAGCAGATAAGGGGTCCTCATGTCCCTCATTGCTGCTTCAGAAACGTGTGTGTGTGTGTGTGTGTGTGTGTGTGTGTGTGTGTGTGTGTGTGTGTGTGTGTGTGTGTGTGTGTGTGTGAGAGAGAGAGAGAGATCACACATGAAGGCCTTTAAATATGTGCATCAATGCTAAATCAAAAACTGTGGCACAGTGGAGCTTTGTATTTAGTTTGCAGATGTGTTGATTGAGGTTATCACCTCTTGCTGTATATTCCTCAGTGTGAGCGGTGAACCATCGCATGTTAAACCCTGCACAACGAGTTCCTTGTATTATGATGTAACAAACACCAAAGCCGCGCATTCCAGAGAATCACAACGCAGAATGCCAAACTGAGAGCTCTGGGTACAAGGCCTCTGTTTTCTCCTAGAAAGAAAAATGTATTTATAAATGTTGCAAATATGTGCAGATTCACTACAGTAGAGAAAGAGAGAAGTCATCATGTGGATAGAAGGAAAACTTCTAGGTAATGTTTTACAATATTTATTGTATGAATGGAGAAAGCAGCATGTTTAAAACCTGCATAAGGCAGATATTTCATCGCATTGCAATCAGATCAGGTCTGATTGCAAATAGTTAAGATTAGAGTTCTTCCCTTGGTCTTCTTAAGGTCATTTTGTCCACATGTAAAACAAATACATCCTGACCTCTGCATTAACAAAACTGTAAGGCCCAGTTTTACATTGCAGGATAATAGTGCTGATTTTTTTACCCAAGCCTCCCCTTCCGACAATCTCAAGGATGCACCCAATAAAAAAATAAAATAATAATAATGATAATAATTTTATTTAGAAACCTTTACAAAGCACTGAACAGCAAAAGAGAAAAACAGTACAGAATGCAATTGCAAAACAGAGAAATCACAAAACAACTACAATAACAACTAATAAAAAAATGAATGTTATCAGCCATTGCTGCCATGTGTGTTGTGTTAGATGTGCCCTGATCTGCTTGGAAGCATGCTGGGACAGCTCCAATCATCATTCTTGGATATGAGATAGACTCTGGTCTGCGATTTGATGGTCAGGTGAACTCTGTTGTTTGTTTGTGTTTCTATAATATTCAGTCGATCCTAACAAAACGGGAGTTGAAATCTGTAGCCAGTGCTTTTATCATCTCTAGGCTAGTGTACTGCAACTCCCTCTATGCTGGCTTGAGCCAGTTCTTAATAACTCGGCTCCAGCTGGTCCAAAACGCTGTTGCCAGATTTCTGTATGGAGCACGTAAGTGGGAGCATGTCATTCCCCTCCTGACAGCTTTGGACTGGCTACTGGTGAAGAGTTGCATCTTGTTCAAAATCCAGGTCCTTGTTTTTCAATCCCTGTCTGGATCAGCCCCACCATATTTAGCCTCCCTGCTGACCCGTTATGTCCCTGCAAGATCGCTACGTTCGGGTCAGAGTGAACTTTTGTGGTACCGCGATCAAAGCGTAAGGTGCCTTTGCAGTTCTGGGTCCTCGGCTTTGGAACCAACTCCCACAAGAAATCAAGTGGTCCACATCGCTGCCCACTTTTAACTCATTCACTGCCATTGACGACTAAAGTCATCATTTGCATTTTTTTACTGTTTGAGCATCGGAACGACCCCCGCGCTGAGAGAACAAACATCTCCGCCCTGAAGCCGGTCTTCGTCCACATACGTCACACGTCACGTGATCAGGAAGCAGATCATCCATGTGTTAGGAGATCGTTTTGGGCCGTTCCTGTAAAAAAGTGAGGCGCGAATTGGAAAAGCGTCTGCCGATCACAATTCGACAACGGATTATGAAAGAACGGATAATGCTCGAAACACGTGGATTCTTCCTGATGTAAGAGGTGAGTCTCCTCTTTGTTTTGGTTGTTTTGCGTCGACATCATCCCAGCGCGCAACGTTCTGTGACTCTTAAAAAAAACAGTAAAAACGGTGAGAAACGCTGGCAGCGAAGGCCGTTAGCGATCAGGAAACGGCTGGCAGTGAATGGGTTAAAGCAAGGCTTATGCTGTAGATTAGATCTGTTTCTTAGTTGTTTCTATTCACATTTTAATGTTTTTGATCACTATTTTGATTGTTTTTCAATCAATCAATCAATCAATCAATCAAATTTATTTATAAAGCGCTTTTCAAACAAAGTGTGATTCAAAGTTCTTTACAAAATGACCCCAGATTCCCATAACAGGGAAGGGAATAGCTCTTTTCTTGTTTTTAAATGTTTTTATCTCTGTACGTACACTATGTTCAGCACCTTGGGCCCCCTTGATTGGGGGTGGGAAGGGGCTTTATAAATAAAATGAACTTGAACTTGAACTATAAAACATGTTGGATTGTCTTGGTCTGATGTTGGAGGACAAACGAGAGTGCTGCCTGTTGAATGTGGTGTAGCCAATCAAAAACCAACGTAATGGAAGCACACTTCTCCGCCGCCATTTTTGTTTACTCCAAAGTCACATTTAATCTTGGGAGTTTTCCCATTCTGATTGGGAAAAAGTTTTAGCTGTGTGACTGCACACCACACACTGTAGGACCAAGGATGGTACAGCCGTGATTTTTTATTACCACGTGTGTATGGTCAGCTATGTTTTAAAAATCCAGCGGCCTTAGCTGCAAACCATCAAATACTAAAACCTTTAAAACTATTATTGAGAAAATGTTTAGTTTAAAACTTTTGTGGAATCTTCTTGTTTCTTTAGCAGAATTGTATGAAGGTTAATAACTCCACTGTTGCAAAATAAGAATGAATACCTAATAAAGCTTGATTCAGAATGTATGTAATTCTTTAGAAATCCATCTAAAATCCCTTTATTTAAACTTGTCAGATTAAAATCCTTACCCATTCTCACTGTTTTAACAATCAGAGAAGAAGAAGAAGAAGAAGAGTTTATGTGCAAGATAAAAATCATAAGGCGCGTCACAAGCAAAATAGAGAAATACATTTAAAAAACAAGGAAGATCAAAAAACAGACAGTAAAACAAGCAGGAAACAAAACTAACAAGCAGCAGTGGATCAACCGGTGGTCATTTGAAAACCAGCCTGAACAGGTGAGTTTTCAGCTGTTTTTTAACCCTCTCAGGCTCAAAATAAGTTTTGATAAAAGGACGAACAACTAAGTCCTTCAGGGGTACTTCTGAGTTTAAAAAAATGCTCATGAAATACGTATGTGGAGTAACCAGGTAGGTAGGTAGGTTTTAACATTGCAAATCTGTGAAGCCTGCCTCCAGGGGGTTAAAGGAGACCACCGAGTCCACTGATCTCAGTCTCAGGGGGAGAGAGTTCCAGGGTCTGGGGGCCACAGCAGCAAATAATCTGTCACCTTTGGTCTTTAGCCTGGTGTGCAGCACAACTTGTAGGCTTTGGTCACTGGACCTCATGGACCTGCTGGGGGTGTAAAGACTGACAAGATCACCAATGTATGATGGTGCTTGTCCATGTAAGGCCCTATAGACCAGAACCAGGATCTTTAAATGAACCCTGAAGTTGACTGGCAGCCAGTGAAGCTGGAGGAGAAGCGGGGTGATGTGGGCGTGTTTGGAGATACTTGGTCAGAAGCCGAGCACAGCCATTCTGAACCACCTGTGGATGGTTCAGGGAGGTTCTGCTCAGACACGTGGAGAGAGAATTGCAGTAGTCTAAGCGTGAGGAGATGAAGGTGTGGATAACAGTCTCAAGTTCAGAGCGGGACAGAATAGGACTCAGCTTAGCAATGTTCCTGAGATGGAAGAAGGAAGAGCGAACAAGAGAACTGACATGAGAATCCAGGGTGAGAGCTGGGTCAAAGGTCACACCAAGATTCCTGACAGAGGGTTTGGTGAGAGAAGCAAGCTGACCAAGAGAGTCTCTGACTTTGGGAACCAACTTGTCTGAAGCGCAGATGAGGATCTCAGTCTTATCTTCATTCAGCTGTAGAAAGATTGCAGCCATCCAGGTTTTAATAGAGTTGTGTAACAGCTGCAGGTTAGACATCTCATGGGGCTTAAAGGAGATGTACAGTTGGATGTCATCTGCGTAAATATGGTAGGAGATTTCTTTAAAAGAGCTCAAGATGTGCTGGAGAGGGTGCAGATTGAGGAGGACTAGTAGAGGCACCAGCACAGAACCATGTGGG